ATTCAAACCACTGCCCTTTCAGTGAGTAGATGAATGTCTAACCAGTGCATCACCTGCCTCCAGATAAACGTAAAGGACTCTGAGACCCGTGGATGATCTCTTTGTTTCCTGACGCCCTCGAAAGACACTGTGCTTATTATGTCTCTGCTCTCCGAGTTGCAATGTCTGGTGCCCGGCAACTCTGAGAGTCCCCGACCCCCCACACGGATGTCTGCCGAGTCCGTTTTAGCAGTCACGGATGATGTCTTTGAGCCTGTCCTGGAAGACAGTTTGTCATCAGCCAAAACACTTACAAAACAGTTACGTCCCACTAAGAATAACAAACATTTCACAAGGATGTTACTGATCCGTGTCAGCGAATTTCTTTCGTTCTTTTTTAATCGTAACCTATTTATACCTTAGCGAAGACAGTATGTGAAGGGTCAGAGAAAGAACTTGGTATTTGGAATTTGCTTAGCCATCTATTTGCTTACCCATCCCCCAAACACATTCTTTGTGAAATGTATGTATTATTTTACAGACCAAGATGTGTGAGATATTTATTGTTGTTTTGTTGTTTTCCATGGACTTACATGTAGTTTAGCTGCAAACAAAGAAGGGTGAGAGAACATTCTGTTTCCTTCAAAAAGTACAATGAACCCACTCTGAAGGAGCCAATTCGCACACCACCTGAGACAAATTTAGGAAGCTTAACAGCCCTCTTAGATTTCACTGGCAGTCCAAAACTTCATGTTCAAGTTGCAAAGTACACTGTGCCCAGCAAGGATATCCTCTTGATAAACACACAGAGTTCCTCTCCATGCTAACCGGAAATGTTTCCCAAATAAAGGAATTCTTCAATTATAAATGGAATAACAGTGCAGATGTTGAACAAAAGCCTTCAAAGGAAAACCCTGTAGGACTTTTAAAAGTACCTGCTTTTAAAATCGTGTGGTTGGTGGTTGTCACGGAGCCAATTCAGACTTGCTTGTGCAGAGAATAACTTCTCCTCAGCCTTTCTAAAGCTGCGCTCGTTCAGAAGCAGATGGCCAGGACGACAGGGGGGACTGAATCACCAAATTTTCAGCTGGTAGTCAAGGAGGAGCTCTGGTGGTATCGTGGTTATAAGTTGGGCTGTGGTCCTCATGGTCAGCGGTTCAAAACCACCAGCAGCTCCAAGGGAGAAGAAGTGGGCTTTCTACTCATGTAAACAGTTATAGTCCTGAAAACCCACTGGGGGTCGCTGTGAGTTAACATTGACTAGATGGCAGTGGGTTTGGCCTTTTAAAATCAAGTTGTAAATTTCATCTATGCCTCCAGTACAATTTCAATGACCAAAACAAACACGTTTCAAGATCCTCACATTATACATGTCTGACACCAACTTCGTGATTAAATGGCTTCTACAACAAAGAAGCACCCCCAAACCCAGTTATCCAGTTCACTCGGCCTCACATCAACTGTATAGGACAGAGTAGAACTGCTCCTGTGGGTTTCCAAGACTGTAACTTCACAGGGGTGGAAAGCCTTGTCTTTCTTCTGCGGAGCAGCTGGTGGTTTCAAACTGCTGACCTTGTGGTGAACGGTCCAAAGCATAACCTACTTAAGCCACCAGGGGTCTTGTTCTTAAAACCAGGATCCGTAAAGCACCTTGACAAAGCTTAAGCCACACAATGAGTATTCATTTAAACCAGTGGTTCTCAACCTTCCTAATGCCTCGTCCCTTTCATACAGTTCCTCATGTTGTGGTGATCCCCAACCATAAAATTATTTTCATTGCTACTTCATCACTGTAATTTTGCTACTGTTAGGAATTGGGTGACCCCTGTGAAAGGGTTGTTCAACCCCAGGTTGAGAACTGCTGCTTTAAGCATGGGGAGATGGCAGTGGAAAGAGGAGGGCTCACAGGTGGAATTAAATGTTGACTTTAAAAACCTCTTATGTACATAATATCTATATAATATCTACTAGATATATTTAAAATGTATACACACACACATACCCTGGTGGCAGAGTGGTTACACTTTGAGCTGGGAACTGCAAGGTCAGTAGTTCTAAAACACGAGCCACTCCAAGGGAGAAAGATCATGCTTTTTACTCCTGGAAAGAGTGACGCTTGGAAACTCACAGGAACAGTTCTACCCTGTTCTAAACTGTCGCCATGAGTTGGCATCGAATCCATTGCAGTGAGATACACACACACACACACACACACACACACACACACACACACACACACCCCAATATGCGTAACCTACCATTGCCCGAGTGAGTTAAATGTTGGCAATGGTTTTTCCTTTCTTTAATACTAAAAGCATAGCTTACTTGTGCAGACCTTTAAAGTGAATCACAAAGCCTGCACTGAGTACATGCACGGCATTGTTTAAGGACCACAACAATTTTGTTAACTGGGCGTACACCTCTTATTCTTCTTTTGATAAATGAGGAAACTGAACATTTCTAAGGTTATATGACTCACCCCAAGTCACAGAGTTTAGGGGAGACAGAAATAGACTTTGGGTTGGCCATTTCTTTCTCAGGGCTCTATTCTGGGCAGCATCCTGCCTCTCCAGAAAAAGGCAGGAGAGAAACCCCAAAGAGAGAGTTGAAATCTGAAATTTCCTGAAATCTGAAATTGGAGACTAGAGGTCTGGAAAGAGGAGCTGGTGCCCGCACTTCTCAAAGGAACTTGGCAGACCAAGGATCAGGATCAGCTGGGGGCTGTTTAACCCAAAGCTCCTGAGTCTCAGCTGCTCAGGAACGTGAATTTTAAATAAATCTTATGCTAGGGATAGAGAGCCCTCGTGGCCCTGTCAGGTAAGAGGGCACTGCTACCCTGTTTCCCCAAAAATAAGACAGTGTCTTAGATTAATTTTTGCTCCCAAAGATGTGCTAGGTCGTATTTTCAGGGGATGTCTTATTTTTCCATGAAGAAGAATACAGTGCACATTGATTGTTTATTGTTTTATTAAAATAGACCTCACACTTCCTGTCTGCTCCGGCTGTGCTGTGGTCAACAGTGAGCTGCGCGGCAGCGCCCACCACTACGGTCCAGAGTCCAGAGTTATGGTAGCTTCGGGGGGCCTTATTTTTGGGAAGGTCTTATTGGGGGGCGGTGCCTTATATTTCAGTGAGAGGCAAAACTGTAAGTAGGTCTTATTTTCAAGGGATGTCTTACATTCAGGGAAACAGGGTAGCTACAAGGTTTAGTTCAAACACATACCTGTTCCCCTCGGAGAAAGGGGAGGCTCTCTTACAGATGTACAATCTTGGAAACGCTTTGATTTAGAATCGACTCCCTGGCAGTGGGTTATTCCAGGTATAAGTGTACCTGAGTGATGCAAGACACACCTGCTAACCTGATGCCCAAATGGTTGGCAATTCAAGTTTACCCAGAAGTGCCTTGGAAGAAAAGTATAGCATTCCACTTCCAAAAAATAAACAGCCATTAAAAACCCTAAGGAGCACAATTCGACTCTGATGCAGACAGGGTTGCCATCAGCTGCAAGCTCCTTGGTGACAACTGATGGGATTCAAGGGATACTCCAGAAGACACTTGAGGGCACAAGGGATTTACAGAGCACAGTGACCATGTCACAGCAGCCACCCTAATGACATTGCAAGTTCCGTGACAGCAGGAACTGTGTCTGTCTGACCGTCTATTCCCATCACCGCTACCAAGACCTATCACATAGAAAAGGTTCACTAGATAGTTGTTGACTGTAGTTGTAGATCTCATAACTAGATATATTATTATCATTTTTTACCCTACGTGCCTGTTGTTGTTTGCCACTGAGTCCATTTTCTATTCATAGAGACCCGTGTGACAAAGTAAAACTGCCTCGTAGGGTTTCCTAGGCTGTAATCTTTAGGGGAACAGACTGCCTGGTCTTGCTCCATGTTGAATGGTTGGGTAGCTTCGAACTGCCAACCTTTCAGTTAGCAGTTAAGTGTTTAACCTTGCACCTACAAGGCTCCTTCCTAAATATCAGTCAATTTACCAAACAAACAAATCCTGCCTAGCTAATTCTATAGGACAGGGTTGACTGCAATCAATAGAGTGGGTGAAAGGATGGACTGCTAACCACAAGATCGCTGGCTCAAATGCACCAGTTACTCCGAGGTAGTAAAATGAGGCTTTCTGCTCCCATAAAGATTAACAGCCTTAGAAACCAAGAGACAGTTTAGGTTGTTCTGTTCTACTCTGCCCAGTTCTCCCTTCCCCTGAAGCCATCCCCAGTTCTGTGAGAGAAAAGACCTGGCGATCTGATCCCATAAAGTTTACAGCCTAGGACAGAGTAGGGGCAGCTTTACTGTATTGCATGGGGTCTCTAAGTCGAACCTACTTAGACATACATTAACATCATCATCATCATGTGGGGGGTGGGGAATGCATAACAAAACTCAAAATCATTAAAAAAATCCAACTCAAGTAGAAAGCAAATGTTTTGAGAATGATGATGGCAACAAAGGTGTTTGACACAATGGATGGATGTATGGATTGTGATAAGTATTATACAGGCCCCCCAAAAATGATTTAAGATAAAAAAATATATAATTCCAACACCGAAAAGCTACTTCTTGCTGAAATAGCCAAACTATTATGAGCAAAATTTAGTATGTCTTCATGTTGAAGGTAACAAAAAAAGAATGTGATTAAGTCGTACTGAATCGAGGTCCTGCAAAATTAGGGTCCTCATAACTGGGCCCACTAGTCCTCCAGGTGAAGTCGAG